CAGCCGCCGCCGCTGCGCCGTCCCGACCAGAAGGCGCCCGGCGTCCGCAGTCGGGGCCGCGGCGGGGCTCACTCACTATTTCTCTGCCTTGGCCAGGTGCTCCAGCCCCTCATTTATTTTCTGGGCCGCCATCTCCGGGTCCAGTCCCTGAGGTGGGGCAGGAGCGGCCCTGCCCGCAGCCCGCGAGACCCAGCAGCAGCGAGGAGGCTCCGTGGAGGACGCCGGGACCAGCGTGCCCACGGCGCAGAGGATGCCGGGATGGTGGCAATGAGCGCCTACGGGGGCCCGAAGTGCTCAAACTTGCTGCAACCAAGCCGGAGGAGGGAGTCATAGAAGCTCCACCAGCAGAGGACGCCAGCGCAAAGCGGAAGCGCTGATCCCGCTCCGGATTCCCGCGCAGGCATAGTGAGCACTGACTCGGGCGTCTGTCTGCTGCTCTTGGAGGCGGGGAGTCCACAGGAGGCGGGGCCTGGTGGGTGGGGTCACTGAAGCATCTCGGACCCGCTCTTGGACAGGAGCAGCTTCCTGCCCCTCGAGCTCCTGCCTGATCCGCTGCCTCTCCACAGTCCCAAAACCGACTGGCCAAGCAACTGGGACAGAACCTCTGAACTAGGCGCCAAATAAACCTTTCCTCTTTATAAGCTGATCGGCTCAACTATTTGTTACAATAACAGAGTGGTGAACACAGCCACCCGTCCCAGGGCGGCCTCTTCGCGTCGGTCTGCACAGCCTGCTTTACTAACCAACGGCATCCCGTAGCTCTTGCACAAACTGCAGCTCCCCGGGCCTCCTCCCTCCTTCCCCCGGCCTGGAAAGCACCGGCTCCCCGCGTCCTCCGCATCCACGCGAGAGCAGGCGACCGTGGCTGGGGGGCCAGCGGCTAGCAGTGGGACCTCGCCTCCGCCCCGCCCTCTTCCTGACTTAGCCTGTTGGGTGAGGACTGCCCACGCGTGAGACGCATCGTTTGGCTCCATCTGTAGAGAATTCGGTCACCTTTCCGTCCTACAGAGACACAGTCAACCGCTCCTCCCTCCCGAGAGCCTCCTCGCGGCCAGAGTGTCTACACGGGCCCCGCCTGTCCTGGCCTCGCGGGGGAGCCCCAGCACGGCACCGAGGACCCTCCTCACATGCGCGTCTTCCCCCGCGGCTGCGAGCCCTCCCGGGTCAGAGCCAAGGCCCGGAGCAGTCCCAGGCTGAGCGGCCTCCACCTTCGCGCAGCCCCGCCCTGTCCTGGACTCGCTTTCTGCTGTCCCGCAGGCGCCAGGCACTGCCCCAGGACCTCTGCCTCTCTCCAGGCTGAGCGTGACACCAGGAGACCTGGTGTACCGCGGGACCTTTGCTGGTGTGCAGAACCAAGCCTGGGACTGTGGAACGTGGGCATCGGGGTGGCACGGGCACAAGACAGGGCGGCGTCTCCTTCACTTTCCGACCTGGGAACTTCGAGCGCCCCAAACCCTGCAGGTGCCCCGAGCCGGTCCCGATCACAGTCCTCACTGTACCAAGCTCTGGGGCAGCTCAGAACCCGAGCACTGCGGGACCCACCGCTGAGCCCGAAGCTCACCAGAGGGCCGCCCCGCCGCGCACCGACCTGAGCCCCGCCCCTCCGTCCGGCCCCGCCCCCGCCATCGGGCCCCGCCCATCCCGCTGGATCTCCGCCCTCGGCCAGCCACGCCCCCAAGGCCCCGCCCCGCGCCGTCCTGGAAGCTGCGGGGACCCGGCTTCTTCCCCGGGACAGACCTCGCGAAGCCTGCGGCTTGCGGGCCACGGGGCGGGGACAGAGGGCGCTGCAATCCGGAGCTTCGCGGACAGTAAGCCGGCCGGCTGCCCCCAGGACGCCGGCGCCGTCCTGCGCTTCAGCACACGGACACGCCGGGGCGCCGTGCGGGCCGCTTGGACCTGACCTCCGCTCTAGCCCAAGCTCGCTAGGGCGTGCGGGGAGCTGGGAGGAGCCGGAAGGAGCTGGAGCCCTGAGCGCTCAGAGGCTGCAGTCTCGTTCACTCCCCTCTGAGGGACACACGTGTTTCGATGCGTGTTATTTTTTTAAAAAAGAACGCTAGAGTGCTTACTTTGCTAACTAGAGGATAAAGCGACCTCCTCCGTGGACGCTTGCAGACCTACGGGCTCTGCTCCGTAGCCCCCGGGAGCACACTAGGAGACCCTCCGCGAGGAGGCTCCGGTCCAACTGTTAACATCCCGTTTCCTTTCCGGGGAACACATTCGCGTGCTACATTTTGTGCCAGTGCAAATTATGCAAAGGTGAAATAAGATGAACTCTTGCTCGCGCCCCGCTTCCTTAGGAACGTTTTTTAAAATAACGTGCGTTTTATTTAAAATCCCTGAGGCATCGCTTTGCTGCCTGCGTGAACGCAGAGCGGTGAGCTGGACAGAGGTGTGCGGGGCAGTGACTCGGGCAGAGCTTCGCCGGGATGGACTCACCTTGTGGGCGAGGAACAGGAAGCTGCCTGAGATTGTGCCCGGAACATTGGAGGGAATCTCGGGGTGAGAACACAACAGGACGTGGGGGCGCCACCGTGCACGGGACAGGAGATGGTAGCATGGAGACCCAGCAGTAGCCGCCAGCGCCCTGAGCCATCTGGTCTACCTGTGGAGCAGCAGCGAGACTGTGGGGCGGCGGTGTGTGCCTGACCTGTCCCTGGGGTGGCTGGGAGGCCAGCAGGATCCCAGGGGGACTCAGCGAGCCGACCTACAGGTCGTCCCCGGTCAGGACTGACCGCAGGTGCGCACAACTGAAATTGTTTGAAAAATCTGCAGAAGGCATCTTTTGCAGCGTCCCTCCACGTGTGTAGTCAGAAGCTAATAAATGTTAATAAAGAAGTCAAAAAGTGCTCGTGATCGATGACATAAGATAAAGCTTATTCACACACGAAGTTGCCGGAGCGCCCAGAATGACCCAGCCTTACAGAAGCAGGGCGGGCACTTTTCCCAGGCTCCTTGGAAATAGAGATGCAAGTCTGTGGGACAGAGGAAAAGGCAGCGGGAGCTCAGGCCATGTTCTGCAAATGCGGGTGAAGCTGTGACCTGGTGCTTAGTAGGGCCGGGTGACCCCGACAGATGACCTCTCTCGGCCTGTGCCGCCCTGTCTGCCCGCTGGGTGGAACTCGTGGCCCACAGTTATGGCAGGAGGAGGCGCTGGACCCAGAATTACCGGATGGTTGAGGAAGGATTTAGCACTGCCCACAAATGAAAGGAAACCTTCCAGATTTGCAGAAAGGGAAAAAAAAACTTCAGTCCCACAACAAAATCAGACATGAAAGGGGACAGCTTCAGCCTGACAAATAAGAAAATAAACAAGTGCTTCAAATGGATGTTTTTCCTTTTAAATTGTTTTTGCAAAGGGTTTTTCTTCCCTGAAAAAATACTAAAATAGCAAGCTATGCTTTCATTTATAAATCCTTCTCAAGAGGAAATCTAATAATAACAAGGAGTTCCCATTGGGCTCCAGCTTATTTCATAATGTAAATATATTTCTCTCCTCTGGGGAGTGAAACCTACGCTGAGCCAGGTACTTTGCATTTAAATTTGTGGTTTTATTCACTTGTGTTTGTTCCCCTTCTTTTACCTTGAACAACCCCGCAAGCCAAAGAGAAGTTTTAGACTCCACAGTCATGTATTCATGGGGCTAGGGCTCCGTAGCTGGTGGTATAGTTTATTTAAAAAGGTAACAAGATGATTTGCTCTGTCGTATTCTAGATCCCATCACGAAAGTGGTTTGCCCTTCAACAAGTCTTATTTCATGAGGCAAAATAGCCACATTCTGAGAAAGCTGAGCTCCACAGAAAGAGAGAAAAGGCTCAGTCAGTCACACTCGCACAGCTCAGCTGTGTTTCCCATAATGCATACACTATTTGGCTCCTGTGAGCTTCCGTTTCCTTCATAATAACAGCGTGGCAGATCAGAAGTGTCAGCGGTCATGGATTGGCCCTGGGTGGCCCTCAGAGCCTCATGTGTTGCAGTCTTGGTCCCTGACTATTAGGCTGTCATGGGGAGGACTTTCGGAGGTGGGGCCTCGTGGAAGTGAGGTCATTGACGTGTGGCCTTGAAGGAGGTCTTGAGACCCCACCCCTTCTTCAGTCTCTCTTTTTGCTTCCCAGCTGCTCTGACATGATGGGCTTCCTCTGCCCTGCGTTCACACACAAGGTGCTGCCTTTCAAAGCAACAGGGCCAGGGGGCCATGGACTGAAACCCGCCCAGCTGTCAGAATCAAACCTCTCCTGTAAGCTGATCATCTCTGGTGTTTTGTCACTACAGAGACAGAAAGCTGACTAGCACAGCAGCCATGCCTTGGTGCTCCTTCCCCTGAGAGACGGTGTCAGTGTCCCCTGCTCTGGGACCTGGGTGGGTTCTGTGACCAACAGCCCCACCTCCCACCAGGAGAGACAAAACAGGGCTCTGGGGACCCAGACAGTCCAACCACCTGGGGCCACCACGGTGAAGAGGCTGAGGCCACCCTTCCTGTGGCCCCCGCCTCTAGGCCATCCTGCCAAGAAGGCTCCTGACCTGCTCCTCGAATTCCTGATCCCTGCTGCCCTGAGCCGCAACAGCAGCGGCACCCCTGGGCTCTGGGACAAGTGGTCCTGCGGCAGCACTTAGCACCCTGCACGCCCAACATGGCAAATGCTCCCAAGCAGCCTTCAGAAGCTCTGCCACGTTGCTTGGTGACCTATGGAGCCCTGGGTTACAAACACAGCACAGAGTCCACCCCGTCCTTGGGGGTGGCCTGGTGTCCCTCGAAGCTGGCCAATGTGAGGGCCTATGGGCATGGGAGCTGCAAATCCTCTGGAGCTGGGGCAGCCAGGTGCAGGACAGCCCCTAAGCCCACCCTGGCTGGCATAGCCACCAAGCATGTGTACTGGCCCCAAGCGACGTGCTGCTCCTGCATGCCAGGGACATCGCAGTGCTTATGGGCAGTGCCTTGGCCTCTTTTCTTTCTTTTTTTCCTCCTGTAAATCTGCCCTACTCCTCCACTCGGCAGGCACCTTGGGACCCATCCGGCACGGGGGCCGGAGGGAGCATCAGAGGCAGCTGTTGTGCTGCCAGCCTGGCTGAGAGCCTCTCCCGGCCAAACTGTCCCGGCCCTGTAACCTGATCTTTGCAGGTATTTTGGGGACACTTATCATGGTGACCCTCTGGGGCCTCCTGAGCACGGGTAACCTTAGGAAATCAGGTCTTCTTGATGCGGGGAATCCACAGTCCCAAGATGGCGTCACCCACGACCCCTCTGCGGCACATGCTTTAGGGCA